TATATATATATATATATGTATATATATATGTAGATAAATTATTTTTATATATGAATGTTTCTGTTCAGTGCCCTGAGATGACTTCTGTTGTCACCTGGTGCTATATAAATAAGCTGAATTGAATTGAATTGAACATCCCAGCCTGAATGTATTAGAGATGCTCCAACACCTTGCGCAACACAATTCTAGAATCTTGAACATTGAATGTTGTTCTTCTGTGAAGTTTATTTTCTACAAGACTAACCTTTTCAGTTCAGCAAGTCAGAATGATTCAGAACCTCAAACAGGAGAAGACATTGATAAGTGTGTATTTGTAAATGCATTGATCTCCAGTGATCTCTGGCTGTTACCCAAAGCTTTGTAATACATCTCATGAAGTCTACACCTGATTGTTTTGGGAGTCGCTTTTTTCCACAACATATACAGTATGTTTTAACTGTGGGTAACAGTACCATGCTGCCAACTGGACCATGCTGCCAACTGGACCATGCTGCCAACTGGACCATGCTGCTAAGAGAACCTCACTACCAACAGAATCACTCTGCTAATAGGACCACGCTGCTGTAGATGTTGCATTTCTTTTTCACTTTTGGTGCTTTGTTTTGTATGTTTGTTGCATGCTTTGGTATTTCTTGTTGATTTTTTGGCGAGTCGTGACGGTTCTTCTCGTCCTGAACGTTTGTTTCATTGCACTGTTGACCTGCATAGGACAATAAACAACAAAACCTAAACCTATGGGTTTTCTGGTTAATTTCAGGCTTCAAACTCGTTTTCACAGGAATTAGTGTTGAACATTTCGTTGGTGTTTTGTTTTATGTACGATTTTAACAGAGATCTAAAAATTAATTCAACCCAATCAAAAATACTGATCAAACTGAGGACATTAAGACTGAACCACTGCTTTATTTTTAACTGTTAGCAGTTAGCAGCATGCTGCTAAACCAGTTCACTTTAGCTGGTTTTAATATTAAGATAAGATAAGATAAGATAAGATAAGATAAGATAAGATAAGATAGAATTTTATCAGTTAGGGTTCACATGTTGCTGCACACTTTAAATATGGCAGAGAGGGGAAAGAACAGCCCATCCTCATTACACACCAATTCTGACACACAAACACAGTACCTGCTTATTGCTCTTTTATGGTAATTATATCAGTGTTTCCAGTGAAGCCTGAAGACCAAAGGCTGGTATAAAATCCTAAAATGCGTACAGGCTGAGCAGCTCATCAGTGCCAAGTTCAAAGAATCTCGTCATCACGACCAAAACTAAAATAGCTCAGCTGACACCAACTTCCAATAGTTTCAAAGAAAAGTAAATTATTTTTTCAAACCAAGCATTTCTTCTTGAAGATCTTAATACGAGCAGCACATGTTTTTGCAAGCTCTTACCAGCATCAGTGGAGGTGGTGCAGGGAAATGCTCCTCACAGAAATATTCTGGCAAATCATTGTTGTCCTGGTCCGGCTGGGTCCCGACAGTCCTCAGGCCCTTGTCTGAACCACACACCTTACACATGGCTGCATTGCCCATGGTGTACAGCATTCACGTCTATCCCATCAGAACGTAACGTTACTGCACTTAATCACCCAGATAATCCACTCCCTGACCCTGCCTACCCCTAAAACCCTAACAAGCTACAATCTGGGGGGGCAAACCCCTCAGACCGTCTAACTTCCCAGTAACTGAACTGAGCTCAAGTTGTTCTTTTATCATATACCCAACAGAGTGCTAGCTGTTCCTCATTGCTAATTCTAACTCTGGCCATTGACTAACAACACCCCCCACCCCCGCCCCAGCTTTGCCCAGCTATTTTTACACCCACCCGCCCAGCTATGCATGTAGAAAGGGCAGATAGGGTGTTCAGCACTAGACAGGAGCCAAACTATAGAAGGGTGGGGGGTGACACCCGAGACACAGGAACGAGAAACAACATTTTTAAAAGGTGCCAGAGCAACTTTCTTCTCTAAAGTCCAACAATAAGGTGGGAGTTTCATGTGTAAACATCTGACATGTTTGGATATATGATATATATATATATGTATATGTATGATGTATATATGTATATATATATGTGTGTGTATATATATATATATATATATATATATATATATATATATATATATATATATATATATATACACTGTGTATATTATGATTCATACTCATCTGCTCACACAGACTCATGTTCGTGCTGCTGTTGTTTGGCGTATTGTTTTTTATACTATTAGTGCTTAGCGTATTCTTAGTTTAACGTATTTATTAGTTCATACCTTAGATCTTATTACTGTTTTTCTTTTACATGTAACTGGGACCCTGTGTACACAATTTCGTTCCACCACATGTACCACATGTGATGAGAATGACAATAAAGAACCTTGACTTGACTTGGATATATAAACTAAGAAGTGTGTGGAATTTTTACCAACATTTTGCGACAGCTTAAAATCAATCGCACCATCACACTCTGAACAGAACATTATTTGAAAAAAATCTAAAATAAAAAAAAAACGAGGATAAAAGTTCAACTGTGAATGTGTAAAAACACTTTAAGGTATTCATTCATGTAAAGTCCGATTTTGTGTGATCCATTTAATCTTCAAAAGATGTTTTCCTGTACGTCGGAGCTATGGAACTCCAAACAGCTGCATTTTGGATCCTGTCACCAAGTCAAGCAGGGGAATTGGAAATACCCTCATAAATGATTGAAGTGGTCCTTGGAGTAGCTGAAAATGAATCTCTGCTGGTCAAGGCCACCATTGGTCACCCCCTGGCTCCACCATTGCACCTGGTGGTGGATAAAATGTCTCCCTCCACTCTCCTGGCTTCATCACTCTGTGCTGACTTGGACAAGAAAAAACATCATTTAAATCTCCCTCTGTTCTTCTACAGTGTAATTCCTACCCGAGTATCTTGAGCTAAAAACATTTAAAGTTTTCTTGCATTCTCTGTTCAATTCCTGTCCAGAAAAACAACTATCTTCAAAACTGCAAACATTCAGTATTTAATCCTTCAGTGATGGGGGACATCGGTGGACCTCGTGTACTTTTGGATATTCAAACAACCGGAGTTTACAACGATAAAACCTGCATTTATTAAAACATCTAGAGGTTGGGTTTTTTTTATTGAAATTGGTTAGTTGCTCTTTTCTTTTTTCAGTATTTTTTCTTTGTTGATCTCAGGACCTGGTGTCAGGACCTGTTAATGGCAGCAGACATGCTGTGGAACTAATGCGGATCTGTGTCAGAGCGTAGCCCAAAGCAGACCTGTATTGATCCTGCCGGACAGATTGCAAATTAAATTAGCTCAAACCTTTTCATGGCAATTGAGCTGTTTAACAAGACCTTTAGACATCTGGTTGTGGACATGGCATTGTCTGCCTCTTGCACAGTCTGTGTGTTTCAGTCACTTTTCATGCTGTCCCGGCTTGTGTGACGTCAAGAAGGTAAATGTGCCTATTCTCTGTAGAGTCCATGACTTGCACAATAATTGCACTGTTGGAAATGCCATCAGAACAGTTCTCATGAATATGGCAGCAGAGGGAGAAAGGGTGCTCTTTGTTGGAAGCACATGAGAAAGCAACAACGAGTTTTCTATGAATGAATGAATTTAGACTGAGTAAGCCTGAGAACAACATTGTAAAAGTTTGAATGACCGCATATAAAACTAAAGCATCATTACATTTTATTCATCTACAAACCTTGATAAATTTGATAGAGTAAGTTTGCTCAATCATCCAGGTAAATAAATCATAAAAAAAAAGGGTCATCTGGACAGTCTCTTTTTGGAAGAAACGTTTCGTCTTTCATCTGAAAGACTTCATCAGTCTGAGGCCTGCCACCAGGATCTGTCTTATAAATATCACCTCAATGACTTGGTTCAAACCAGTCTGCTGTGGAGTTCCCAGAAACTCCACTGGGGAGTTTCTGGGAACTCCACAGCAGACTGGGGAGTCCCAACTCCACAGCAGACTGGGAACTCCCCAGTCTGCTGTGGAGTCTGTCTTTACACATGCAAAAAGTGTTTAATACCGAAGTCCAGGTGTTTTATGTGTTTGGTGACCAACGACAAAATTCAAGCGAGCAGAGTCGCCATGGAGGATCATATGAGCTCCCGACCCATTGAAGCGCTCGAGTCCCGGCCTTGCGTGCTCACAAAGGCCGGATTCCAAGCCCTGGCAGGTGGGAGGACAGGGAGGACCGGGAGGACCGGGAGGACCGGGAGGACCGGGAGGACCGGGAGGACCGGGAGTCTGGGACGGAGGGTGGACACGTTTTTTTTTTTTTTTTTTTACATTTTATGCATAAAAAATAATGTTGTTTTATCAGTGAAGAATAAAAATAAAAAAACTATGCCAGTAATATCATGAAATCCTGTTTACACATTGACTTTATTAAATAATCTGTTAATGATTGTCTGCTATCAATTGTCTTCTATCAATTTTCTTCTATCAGTTGTCTTCTATAAATTGTTGTCTCCTATCAATTGTCTCATCAGTTGTCTCCTATCAATTGTCTCCTATCACTTGTCTTCTATCAAATGTATCCTATTAATTGACTCCTATCAATTGTTTTCTATCAATTGTCTTCTGTCAAATGTCTCCTATCAATTGTCTCCTATCAATTGCTTTCTATCAATTGTCTTCTATCAATTGTCTCCTGTCAATTGTCTTCTATCAAGTGTCTTCTATCAGGTGTCTTCTATCAATTGTCTCCTATCAATTGTCTTCTATCAGTTGTCTTCTATCAATTGTCTTCTATCAGTTGTCTTCTATCAATTGTCTCCAATCAATTGTCTTCTATCAAATGTCT